GACTCTCTCTCTCTCTCTCTCTCTCCCTCCTTCTCCCTCTCTCTCCTCTCTCTGCTTTGCCAACTTCTCTGCCGACTGCGAATATCCAGACGACGATTACCACAATAAAGACGACGACAACGACGACAACAGAAGCAGTGTAACAGCTCGACGTGACAGCTGGGCACGACATCGACGCTACTATCCAGACAGCTGCTGTGCTTCCTCACATACGTCGGGGGCCCTTGCATTGTCCTGCACCGAAGACGCGCCTCATACATACAAATACACATATACATATATCTATATATCTATATATAACATCGACCCAGCAAACAAAGCGAGGGAAGAAGAAGAAGAAGAAGAAGCAAGAGATCGATATCATCGGAGAGGGAGATACTGCAGCCATCCACGCACGCACACAATCAACAGCAACAAATCCGATCCGATCCGATCAGATTAAAGCAAGATGTCCATCGCAGGCGTCGTAGCGGGCGGGGATTTCACAGGGAGGAAGAGAGGGATGACATATAGCATGGGTAATGTACGTACGCTTCCCTTGTGTTACGACTCTGGTTTCTTGCATACATACAGTATTGTAGTATATCTGTATTGCATTGCATTGTATTTCATTCCGTTCTGTTTTACTGCATGCGTTGTGGTGTTTCTATGGTTTTTCATGACGGGATGGAGTGGATTGGATTGGACTGGATTGGATCCAGGACTCTCTCTCTTCTTGCGAGGCCCAGAACTGGAGCGAAGTGAAGCATAGTGGCATGGTGGTGGTGTTCTATTGAACTCTCCTTATGGTTGATCTATCTACCGGTATACATACCTACATCACCGGCCTATGCGGAATTAGTTTCCTAGTCTGGGTAGCGGTTGGCTGGTACCTGCTTGGCCCGGCCCGACCCGACCTGACCTGACCTGACCTGACCCGACCTGATCCGATTGATATCTCTTAGTAGAGAGGTTGATGGTCGAATGAGGGGATTGGGGGTTGGGTTGGCGCCGACGTCAACAATGATTCTCGTCGATCTTGCCTGTACAGTATTCCCGTACCCCTCCTCCCCTCCTCCCCTCCTCGCCATTGCGGGGTTCAGTCCGACTGCCTTTGCAAGGGGTGGGGGGCCCTTGCCTGGATCCTGACGAGGACCTGCCACTCCAAAAACTCTCTTCGCCAACTCCCTCACGTTCTTCACAACCTCCCCATCCCCACCACTCCCCTACTCTCCTACTCCCCTATTCCCCTATTCCCCTACTCTTCTACTCCCCGTCTCCCCGACTCCCCGACTCCCTTTACCACACTGCCTTTACCCTCATCCTCCCTCGACCCCCCTCGATGAAGATATACTTCTCTCGTCAATCTCCCCTCCTACCGTCTGCTCCTATCGTCCGTCTGCCCTGTCAAGTACGGACGGCTGAACTGCGCGCGTGCGTGCCCCGGACCCGGCAGCCCGTTAATTCCCGTCAAATCTCCGCAAACCAAACAGAACCACTTCCACTACTTTCACTACTCTCACTACTCCTCAATTACAATATCTCCTCCTCCCTCTCTTCCTCGCCTGCCCTCTAGACCTCGACCGAGAATACCCCAGCTCTCTCCTTTTGTTACAAGCAAGCAACAGCTCCACAGCAGCAACAGCAGCAACAGCAGCAACCGCAGCACAGATGGCGCTCCCACGCCCCAACAGAAAGACTAACGGCGACGGTGTGCAGGTGGAGGATACCCGAATCTGTGTCGTGATGGTCGGATTGCCTGCTCGAGGAAAGAGTCTGATCGCTCAGAAGGGTGCGTCTCTTCTCATCTCCCCCCAAAGGTCGCTCGTCGGTCTACGGGAGCTGGTGGCTAACATCATATCCCCCTTCTCCCAGCCCAACGTTATCTCCGCTGGCTTTCGATCCCCGCCCACGTCTTCAACGTAGGTAACTATCGCCGAAAGGACGCCGCCCAACCCTCCGCCGACTTCTTTGATTCCTCCAACGCCGAAGGCGAGCGCATGCGCCGTGCAGCCGCCGAAGCTGCCGTCACGGATATGCTGAGCTGGTTCAAGACGGGTGGGATCATTGCCATCTTGGACGCGACGAACAGCACCAAGAAGCGCCGCCGCTGGATCAAGGAGCGCTGCGACAGTGAAGGCGTCGAGACGCTGTATGTGGAGAGCAAGTGTGACGATGAGGATCTCATCATGAGCAATATCCTGGAGGTCAAGACCACCAGCCCGGACTACGCGGGCCAGGATCCCGAGTTGGCTGCGCAGGACTTCCGCAATCGCATCCGCAACTATGAGAAGGTCTATCAGTCGATTGACGAGGACGAGAACGACTTGACGTATCTGAAGATTATGAATGTCGGCAAGCGGGTCATCATCAACGCCATCCAGGACTATCTACAGAGCCGCGTGGTCTACTACTTGATGAATTTACACATCAAGCAGCGTTCCATCTGGTTGTCACGCGTAGGTCAATTTACGACTCGGGTAGGATGAAGCTAAATTAAAATTGACAGCACGGCGAATCCATGTGGAACGTCTCGGGTCAGATCGGTGGTGACGCAACACTCTCTCCAAACGGCGAACAGTACGCACTGAAGCTCCCAGAACTCATCAAGGAGTCTTTCGACGTAAGTCCCATGTCTCTACACCATCTCCCAGTCTGATTACCTCCAGGGCCACGATCACCCCCTCACGGTTTGGACCTCAACCTTGAAGCGCACCATTGCTACCGCCCGCCACCTACCCCGCGAATGGGAGCAACTCCAGTGGAAAGCTTTGGACGAGCTTGATTCCGGTGTCTGTGACAACATGACTTACGCTGAGATCAAGGAGGAGTACCCCGAGGACTTTGAGGCTAGAGACCTCGACAAGTACAACTACCGCTACCGAGGTGGAGAGTCGTAAGTCTTTTTCAGACCCTTGCCCACACCTCGCCCGCCGCCCGACCCCAACCCTTCATCAACTAACCCTATGCCCAGCTATCGCGATGTGGTCATCCGCCTCGAACCCATCATCATGGAGCTCGAGCGCAGCGAGAACATCCTGATCGTCACCCATCAAGCCATCCTACGCTGCATCTACGCCTACTTCATGAACGAAGACCAGGAGCAGTCCCCATGGCTCAACGTCCCGCTTCACACCCTCATCAAGCTCACGCCCCGTGCTTACGGTACCGACAAGCAGGTTTACAAGGCCAACATCCAGGCTGTGAGCACGTGGAGAGGCAAGGGCAGTGTGGCAAAGCATGAGGATCCCGTCGAGACGACGACGAGTCTGGATAAGTGAGTGGGGTATTCCCTACCTCGCTTGTCTACCTTGGCATTCCAAATCCGAGGTGATGGATTTGCATCTTGATATGACAGAGAGTGTATAAATCTTGTAAAGTTTGCAGGTCACACGCATCCGATCGGTGGAGTTTTTTGCGTTTTTTTTTTTTTTGCTTTTTTCAAAATTTCATGGCACGGTATGATACCACACACACAGCGAGCGTGTATCCCGATGACGGGCCGGGCGGTGCATCCTTGAGAGATGGAAATGACCTTTGTTTCTCATATGGTTTGCACGTTCCTGTGCTCTTTTTACGACGAGATGAGATGAGCATATCTGCATAGCGAGGCGGTTCGGATCAGTTCGGCTTGGCTGGATAGCTGGACGGCATGGCTTGATACGGCGTTATGGTCTAGCTGGCATACGAACTTGCCCAAATGGGAAATGGGACGGCATGGGGCGTAGGCTTAGAATATAGGCTGGCTTGAGATTTTCATGCTTTCGGTGGATATGCATCATATCACGGAATGGAATGAACAAGATTTGCTTCCCCCTTTCAAATCACGCACCCTTCTCTCGAGATTCAACTCTCCTTGCCCACTGCTCTTTCATTGGCCGAGATGGCTTGAGCAGGAAAGATCATGTCGACGAAGATTAACCATCCCTCTGTACTGACGGTATCTCCACCACCCCCTTTCCTTTTCTTTCTCTCTGTTTGTTCGTCCGCCTGCGAGAGCTATCCTCAAGCTAAGTTCAACTGAAATTTCCGGAGATGCTCAACACACCTACGGAGTCGGTATACCCGCCTTCCCCGGGCCCAGATTTGAAGCAAGGCCTTCCCAAATATATACACACACACACACACATATATATATATATGTATATATATGTGTGTGTGTAAGCTCATCGGGCACATCTAAAGCAACGGTAACGCTAGACCGGACTAGACTAGACTCGACTCGACCGGACTGCATCGGACTAGGCTCTGCGGTGGCTGGCAATGACCACGACCGCCGATGAGAGTGCGAGTGCGAGTGCGAGTTTGTTGCCGGCAGTCAGTCGCGGCAGTCGTCTCGTTGGCGGGATTCGTCGTGCTGCGGGTTGAAGGGGAGGAGGGAAGAAGAAGTAAGGGAAGGAAGAAGTAATGAAGAAGGGAAGAAAGAAGGGGAGAAAGAAAGGAAGGGAAACTCCATCCGGAGTTGCGACATTGGTGAGCTTTGCTTACTTTATTTCCTCTGCTTTTATTCGCTGATGGATGGGATGGGATGGGATGGGATGGGATATGTGGACGGGGATGACGGAGATGACAGAGATGACGGTGTGGAAGGCAGATTACGAATAGAGGAGGATGAGGACGAGGATGAGGACGAGGACGAGGGCGGAATCAGATGGTTGTAGGTACCGGTAGGTACCGGAGATGGATGTAAAGAGGCCCGCTCACTTAAGCGAGCCGATGATTAGATGGAGGCTTTCTCTCGGCTTGAGTGTGGTCTTAGACCGGGGCGGAGGCTAAGGGGTTGCTGCATGGTGATACTGAACTGGAGGGGCTTTGTGTCTGTGTTTTTTTTAGGGCGGGGTTTGAGTGAGGGCCTTTTCCTTGTCATCGGTCAATCGATTGCTGATATGGTGGGTGGTTGATGGGTGAGGGAGAGGATGGCGAGGGCGCTGCGGTGATTTGTGAGATGAGCTTCTTCTGAGTGGCCCCTTGGAGGCACTGTGTAGCTTCTAGATGGGCGGTTTGGAGAGTGGAACTCATCGGCGGTACTTTCTGCTTTAAGATATGTATATTTATACACCTTTTTATTTGTATGTCTTGTATACACGATATTTCGCCAGCGATCTATGCAGAACTCCTCCCTTACCACTGCTAAGAACCCGTCATCTTCTCTACCCACCGCCAGCTCACTACCAACAGACACTTCTCTCCCTCTCCTGCCACCCCTTCCAAGAACCAACTTTACACGTCGCCCTCGCTCTCCGCCTCTGCAAATCAAGCTCAACGCACTCGCCCCATGCCCTCTTCTCCTCCGACACAAACCCTCTCTCATCCACAGCCTCCTCCTCAATCTCCATCATCCACTGTCCAATCTGGCCTGCTAGGAGGGAATCATACATCCACTCTCTGCGGTGCGTGGAGAGAAGAAGGGCGATGGCTTGCCGCCGCAGGGGAAATGAGCAACATTTGGTGGCGATGAGGTAGAGTGGGGCGGTGGTGCGGACTTCGGGGACGAAGAATTCGATTTCAGATAGAGAGCTTGGTTTATGGCGTCCGGTGCGTGGGAGTGGGAGAGGTGGGTACATGCCGAATATGCCTGGATCGCCGGCTGCTTCGTACTCTAGCGTTTCTCGGCATAAGTCGAGCATGAACTCGAAGTGCGGGAGGAGTTGGTCGGATACTGTCTTTGAGGCGTCGAGGGTGCATGCCAATCTGACGAGGAGGACGGAGGAAGAGAGCTTTAGGGATTGAGGTCGATTTAGCGGATGGCATAAGACGTCTGGCTCTATGTCCTGCACCAAAAGATCAAGAAGGTTGTGTAGCTGGCGTATGCCCTCGATGAATTGGTCTCGTGTCCGTATAATCGAGGCTGGTATCTGCTCAGAAGGTAAATCTTGGTATCTGACCGTCCGGTAGAAAAAACTATAGCCCTCGCAGACGATTCGATTGCGAGTGCCCCTTGCCTCATCGACGCTCATGAATCGGCTTGGTAGATAGAAGTCTGAGATGCCCTCTTTCAGCCGAATGAAGGTGCGACCTTCTTCAATACCTATTGCACACAGCGCCTGCATTTCGAGGCGGAAGAACATGTTGACAATCTTTTCTTGCTCTGAGCTCTTCGTAGTGACAGCCGCTGGCGCCGCCACTTTGGCAAGCAGCAGGAAATCCCTCGCATGTCGTATATGCTGAAGCGCGAAACCTCCATTGCCAATGAAATTATCGAAGAATGCGAGTACGAGGCAAGAGATAACCGTATTTCGTACGCATTTTCCAGGTTCAACCCGGGTTATTGATTCTCGGAGTCCTTGTAAGGCCTTTTCGTACTGCTCTAGAGCGTATTCTCGGTGAGGGCAAGGAGCAGTGTCCATACGATAGCCACCAAAGGTTGATCGCTTTGAGCTTTTGGCCAGGGCACCGATGGCTACTAGTCCGTGCCGCACAGAATAGTTGGTCTGGCTCTCTTGTAGGACAACTCCTGCCCAGAAGAACGCATCTTCAGCCTGCAGATGAACAGAAACATCGTCTATGAAGCTCCGCATATATCGTTGTTCTTTGTCGCACACATCTAGAGCCAGTGGTGGGATGTAGAGCGACAAAGTCGGAGATGGCGACGAGGATGTAGAGCTATCAGATCGCGGGCGAAGGGGGGCCAGCGTCCATGTTCCGGAAGTGGTCAGAGCGACGACATGTTCATATCCATCGCAATGCCAGCCAGACTTCATACATCGATAGCAACTTGGCTTCTCCTCTCCGCACTTGAGTCTCCTGATCCTATTTCGACAGCACATCAGCACCGAGCGATCCATTGCGGCCTGTAGGAAACGTACTTGCATGTGACGCAACCAGTCTTGCTTCTCGGCGTGGATGCTCTTTTCCGAGGCTTATGGGGAGGCTTGATATTTGAGCTGTCCATTGCAAGCAGAGAGAGAGAGAGAGATGATGATGGAAGGAGAGAAAGCAATTCTGGGGTGACTAAGTGGGATATGATGGAAATCTCCTGCCACGAAATAGGCAGGAAGAAGGAAGAAACGAGACTAATACAAGCCATAGTACATCGATTGGAGATATAGGCACCGGTAGTCGTATCCTATATTCCGAAGAGCGGCGTCGGCTGGACTGTTCCCCCGTTGCAATGAAACCATGCAGCGCACCGCCTGATCTGCCACAAGCCTTGCTCGCCTCGACAGAAAATGAAACACAGAGCGGGAGTGGCTGAGTATATGTGATGGGGGCCGAATAACGTGCAAAAGAACGTGGGTTGGGCGTCAGTCTGCAAGTTCCCAGACCTCAAAAGAGAGCTAAGCCGAGGCACTCAACGGCGGAGACAGCAACGAATTGCAACGCAACAACCTGGACACCAAAAGGGATTGCAGAATTTGGGAAAGATTTCGTAGAGCTGAATTCCAAACGAGGGAGCTTGACTTGGATAGGCTGCTATAGTCCTCGCATCTGACCAAGCATGCAGGCCTGGATAGAGAGCCAAGCCAAATCGAGATTCACCGATTGAGCGCTTGCCGGCGTCTGAGAAGCTGACGAGAGCTTCCATGGCCCAGGTTTCTTGCCATTCTCACTCGAGAAGAAGATATACGATGAATTGGAGTTGAGGAAAGCGAGACGAAAGTTATTAAGGGGGAAGAAGCGATCAAGTCCGAAAATAGACGAGGAGCTAGTTCAAGCTAGCGGCTGACTAATACCCCTCTAATCTGAGTTGGCAGAATATTTTCCATTCTTTACCCCTCCAAAATTCACAGCATCGCTTCTGCACCACAACTGCACCACTGCACCACTGCACCACTGCACCACCACACTCTGCACACCGCATCTCTACGCACGTAACCCTACTCGGCGTCGAAAAACCATGGCGGAGAATATCTACGACGAGATCGAAATCGAGGACATGACGTATGATCCCGTCCTCGAGATCTACCACTACCCGTGTCCCTGTGGCGACCGGTTCGAGATTGGTATCGCCGAATTGAGAGACAGCGAAGATATCGCAGTATGCCCGAGCTGCAGTCTTATGATTCGGGTCATTTATGAAGTGGTGAGTAGGATCCGTGTGCACGTAGCTCTTGGAAAGGAATAGCTTGGCTGACGAAGCTGCGGTGGCGACAGGACGATTTACCAAAACCCGAGGACGAGAAGAAGGGCGGCGCAGAAGAGAGCGCACAAGTCCTAGTCGCGGCCTGATTTAAAGCCGAATCATCGTAGAAACACTTTGAATCGCATGCCAGATATCTAAGGACTGCGCTCTGCTCCATGACGAATGCGAAAACTCCATATCAGGCGCACTACCTTTCCCACGGATCACTGCACGAGCAGAGGCGCACTCTAAGGCGCATGGAAGGCATGCAAGGCACGCAAGGCCGACGAGCTGGCTCCTGAAAGGGGCTTGGTCGATTGCCCCAGAAGCTAGGGCTGGCATGTTCTAGATGCGCCACAACTCCTGCTATGAAGGAGCATATTGATTCGCGCGTAGATATTCATCCTTCTGGCTAGATATCCACCATGCTGCAGCCCTGCTCTTTGGGAAGACTGAGCAGGTCCTGACGGGGACAGTGTCTATCTTGATACGTTGTGGGAGCCACTCGCCCTAGATATTAGATTGCAGGATACAATCAGTCGGATGGCATCTTATTTTGTCATATACACATCATCTTTCATGGATAACTCTCACATTTCCATGCTGTGCTACCGTATCCCACTTTTTGTGTTTGGTGTTTTATGTTTCCTACCATTTCCCACTGGCTCTCCAATTATGTTTTCAGTGCGTGTACTATGATTTTACGGACAAGTACCCAGAGGCCATGCTCCATCCTTACCCCCATACTTGTTCATCCATCTCACATAAGCCGCACTTCGAGCTGCAAATAACGTACTTCTAATCCAATTTTTTTTTTCAAGAACTGACATCACTCCATTCGATTTCCTCTCCCTTTACAATATTCCATCACAAGACACGTTCACCGCAACAGAACCAGCGAACGAGTCTTCCATGCCTCCTCCTTAGCGTAACCGCAAAAACCCATCTGAGGGTACCGCGAAACGGCGGACCTGACTCCAGTCGGCACTTTGCTCGTACCTTGCACCTATCGCCAGCCTCCAAACCGGTGCGGCAGTCAGTCTGTCAGGCCGGCTTAGAATGATCAAGATACCTAGATCTGCAACCGAAGCAGGGCAGGACAGGGCAGGTGCGGCTACACAGAAGGCCCAAGCCAAGCCAAGCCAAGCCAAGCCACGGACTCGCTTATCCTTTCGACGTCGTTCAGATCCACGGCAAGCAAGCCAAAGACCCTTTTTTTTTTTGTACTTTTTTTTTTTTTTTTTTTGGAAGTAAGACCAAGCCACAAAGCCCTTCCGTCGTGTGAATTCCAACCCGGACTCGCGATTCGAATGTATCTCTCCGGAGGCTCTACAGATCGACAGAGGGAGAAATACACCGCTCTGAATAAGCGAGACGCCACGCTCAGCTTCTATGACTCCGTCCCAAACCTCGGAGTTTCGACGACGCGCTGCTGGTGCATCGATATCCTGCGTTGAGCAGCCCCTGCTCCGGACGGAGCTTTACTACAGAGCTTTACGACGGAGGCCAGCCTATCGGTCGGTAGCAGTGGAAAGGGTCATCCCGTACGTGTCTCGCTTCGCTAGCGGAGAACGACACCCTCTATCTAGGTATCTAGGTATCTAGGTATCTAGGTATCTAGGTATCTAGGTATCTAGGTATCTAGGTATCTATACCTTTCTTTGTTTGCTTGCTGTGAACAAGATCCGGTATGCCACGCACACGTGTGCAGGAGCGGCGTTGGAAGTCGGGTAACCGCGAATGAGTGCGTGCGTCGAAGTACTCTGTAAGGGGGGCGAGAGAGAGAGAGAGAGAGAGATAGGTGCTGATGGAGGTATTCTTTGCTATCCAGCTATAGTTGTGGCATTCTATCAGCTAGGAAGCTAAAGCTAGCTATTTACTTAGTCCATTTCGACGATGGAGATGTTCTTCGTTGTTTGTTTGGGATGGGGTATTGGTATATGGTGGTCATGATGATGGTTGAGAGAGAGAGAGAGAGAGAGAGAGAGAGAGAGAGAGAGAGAGAGAGAGAGAGAGAGA